TTAAGAGAGATGCCCCAATTGTGGAAGAGAAGAATATTCGGCGTATTATCGCCCATGCGTTACAAAGAAGGGAAGGTACTGGGACGTCTCCTACATCGAAGATCCGTCGTCTTCGAGAGGAGAACCAACAGCTGCGAGATCAAGTTCGAGAAGTCGTGCAACATATCTACAACTTGAGGGCTTCATTGGATTTTGCGGTTTTACCTTCATGGCCTCCAGCGCTAGCTGCTATCCTTGGTCATCCATCTTCCAGTACCGACACTGATCCTAGTCCACAACCTCCGACTTCATGAAGGGGAGGTTCTTTCTTTGCTATTTTTTTTTATTTTTTGTGTTTTATTCTTTTGGTTAATGACGTAGTTTGCATATTCTAGCATTACTACGCATGTTTTTTGTATTGATTATGTTTCGATCTCAGTTGAAGCATGTATAAATTAGTATCATTTATCTTCTTATCACTTAATGTATGCCTTCACTTAGCCTTAGTTTAGCTTTTCACATGCCTACTTTGAAGCATCTGTGTTGTGCATGTGATTTCATGTCGATGATGATTCTAAGAGATTGCTGAGTTTTCTGTTCTATGCCTGACTAAGCCTTGCGCTATTTCCTTTGTTTATGTGATAAACCCATTTTCTTTTATGTCTTTTTGATCTTTACAGACTTTAAACTTTTTTCTTTACCCCTATATAGAAAGTCCTTGTCCTTTTTACTATTAAGCATTTTTCATCCGATGCAAAAGTCTTTTCCCAGTGAGGACACTGTCTCTCTTAAGTTTCGGGGGACAGTCGTTGTGTCAGTCGTTGTTTCAGAAAGATAAAGTGTTATTTATATTTGAAAACTCATGCTATTTTCTTTAAAAGAGGCAGTTGGAAAAACAAATGCTATTACAGAAAGAAAGTATTGAAAAGCACTTAGCTTAAAAAGAAAAAAAAAGGTTGCAAAAGAGTAAAAAGAGTCTTGTTGAGAGAAAATAAGAGTGGGGAAAAGACTTGTGTTAGAAAGAAAAGAGTGGTAAAAACAATCAGAGTTAAAGAAAATGTATTTATGATTTTCGAGTCCTACTGTAGACACCCATTTAGCTTTAGGTTAGGTGTTGACTTTGAAAATAGCAGTAAAGATGGTGATAAGTGACTTCGTGTTTCTCATTGTCGTCGTTTTATGACCTAGCTGTTAGTTCAAAGTCTTTCTACGAGTAGCTGTGGTTGAAACCGATGTTAGTGTGTGGAAACCTCAGGGGCTAGTAGCCGGTCTTTCAGATGTAGAAGTCTTAATGTAAGAAGGGAGTGTGCAGATTCCTTAGGGGTATTTGAAAATGTTTTCTGTTTTTGAAAGGAAAAAGGATTTTGAAAGAGAAAGTTTTTATCATTTCAAACTTGGTTTATAGTGACTAAGCTTACGAAGGGAATAGAATGGTAGGCTTTTACATCTTTTCCCTGAGACAATTTATGATTGAACATCTCGGTTGCTTTTGCTCTACCTTGTCCATGTGTTAGAAAGCTGATTAAAGTTGCTAAGTTTTGCTTGAGGACAAGCAAAAAGTTAAGTTTGGGGGTGTGATTACGCTTGTTTAGATGCGTAAAAAGAAGGTTTTAGATGTTGTTTTTACTATGTTTTAACTTTGTTTCGGACTTTTTCTCGGTCGTTTGAGTTCCAATTCATGCAAAATTCATATATGATGGTTTGTGGTTGACTTATATTATATTTATGACATTTTAGGACCATTTGGGA